TCTGTCAGCTTCTGCTAATCAATTAGAGAACAGAAGTGTTATCAAAAATCATTATCTCTTAATAAAAAACTTATCAGTTTTAACTTCTTTATCTCTTACTTCAATATCTTCTCAATCTTCTTCTGTTATCACTTATTTATAGTAACACTCTTCTTCTCTCTCTCTCTCTTCATCTTAGTTTTAAATCATTCTCAGAACTTCTCCTGGTCTTACTGCTGCTATATAAGACTCTTCACTATCTTCTTTTTCAATCTCTTATGAACAGTGCTATCTGCATTATTTCTATACTTAGTTCAGTCTAAATCTATCAGAAGTGTTACTTAAAATTGTTATTATTCTACTTTTTTACAGAGCCTCTTCAAGACATTATAACATGTCTTACAATCTGTCTCTTCATACTTGAATACCTTCTTCTTCTCTCTCTTCAATCTGTGACAGCGCTCACGCGCCTTGATGATTCACAGAACCACAGAATATTTGAAGAGAAATGACATGATTGATTTTGATGAGTGTTGAGAGAGAAGTGAAGGCAGGCAATGATATGATAATAATAATAATAATGATGATGATAATAATAATGATGATGATGATAATGATGATAGTGATGATAATGATGATAATGATAATGATAATGATGATGATGATGATGATGATAATAATGAAATGAGAAGTGCATCAGAATATATTATTAACTTATCAAACATAAAGAGACAAAGAAACTATTAACAGTTTTCAGAGATGTACAGAAACAGCTATAGTATTATATAACAACATTATCTTCATTCAATGCATACACTATTGATATTCTTTGTATACATTTATCATATAATCTATATCAGAGATACATGCAGAAAACAGATCTTTATTACTAGAGAGAATGATTGCAGTAATTCTCTGTTTTCATATTATAAAGATAAGTTATTCTCATTTCTTTCTTCTCTCTTTTCTCTTCTTCTTCAACTCATCACTAAGTTCAAGCTGGTATGAAAACTATTAAAACACTCATAGAAACTCTCAAATTGAAGAGTATAGACTAATCAAATTTTAAATACAGATGAATTAAATTACATTTAATAATACTAATTATTCATTCTTCTCTTAATAAAATAACAGTCATATCTTCCTTCTTCCCTCTCTTAAATGAAACATGGCTTGTGAAAAGTGAGTACTACATCAGGTCATAATGATCAACACAGCCCCAGCACACAGAACTGTATACATGCAGTGTATGCTGAACTGAGAGACTATGTGAATTGCAAATCAATGACAGTATCTCAGAGAGAGCTGTGCAGTGTGAAAAAGCCACAACTCTCAGCTATGTGTGCAGAGAGTGAATCACTGCAGTAAGTGTATATGCATTGCATGAAAGTAACATTTTTTGATAACACTCAGTCTCTGATATCATGAAAATAGAGTCTCTCTGTGAGATCTGTTTTTACCAGAAGTCAGAGAATTTTATATTTTCCAAGATCATCTTCACATGCCTTGTCTGTGAAATCAATGAGAGAAATCATTGATTTCAGCATTCTGTTCTTGATGTTATTCAAGTGGCAGCAGAGTCCACCCTGGTCATACTTTTTAAGTGTATATTTTCTAATTATTCACATTTATACAGATATATACTGATTATTTATTAGATGATGTTAAGACAATGACTCATTATGATCATGTTACTCTCACTGTGAGAAATACACAGTTAATAATGAATATTGTGAAGACTCTGAGAAGTGAGTATTTTAAGAGTGCTGTGACTCTGTGATCTTGATTTTTTTTTATTTTTATTTTTTGTTTTTTTCTTTTTCTTTTCTTTTTTTTTTTTTTATTGTGATTTTTTCTTATATTTATTTTGTTTTTTGTTTTTTGTTTTTTTTTGTATTTTATGTTTTTTTCATAATTAAAATTATATAAATTATGATCTGTGTTTAGAAAAGTAATGATATTTGATAATACTCTCTATTGAATTTTCAACAAATGAGCACTATGTTATGATATTATGTAAGTGAGAAATGATTTCATAGTTTCATTTGATGCCATTCTCAATAATGAGATCAGAATGAAAATGTGACTAAGAATTCAAACATATTCTTTATCTGAGACTAGATTTTTATTTGAAAAATGAATCTGAGACCTTTAATATTTGAAATAATGTGATTTGAGATCAATGTGATGAACACAAACCATGACCAGAAGTAATGCTTTTAGGCAACATGACAACTGTAAAGTTTGATCCTGGTTTCAGACATGGTCACACGGTCAGTCTACTTCTATATAATATATTGATAATTATATAATCTGAAGACTGAAAGAGGTTCACTGAGTAAAGAATCTCTGATATATAAGATTATCTGATAACTGATATTTAATATTACTTACAAGAGTAAGAGTTCTCTTGCACTTTGAAGAATAATCTTGCTATATTTGAGTATGAGAGCTGCAGAATGTGAAATACAATCTTATTCTCAGACTTAATTAGTTTCAAAGATTCAATTCACAGATTCAATGATGTACATGTTATATGCAGTTAACTGATAGAAAGAAAACAGTTCATACAATTCTATTAACTGATATGAGAAGAACATTTCATGTCTCTAATATAGAAGAATTAAATCTGTTTACACATTAATAAGCAAAGAGAATGATTTGCAAGATCTCATTCAAAAGCATTCTATATGTTATACAGAATACAGAAGTGAAGAAAACTAAGATAAAGAATATACAGAAGAATAAGCATATAAAGAAGCTTCTGAAGAAGTATGAAAAGATCTTCTGAACAGATCTTTCACTGAAATTACTGCTGCAATGAGAATTTGTACATGAGATTAATACAGAGAACATGAAATCAGTCAATCAGAATGTATATTCTCTGTCACAAATGTATCTTGAAGAATAGAAGTGTCAGATCACAGATCTTCTAGAATATAATTTCATATAATTCTTATTAAGTGTGTGAGGCTTTTCAGTTCTATTTATGAAAAAGACAGATGAGAAGTGACAGATGTGTATTAATTATTAAGCACTTAATAAGCTTATAATCAAGAATGAATATTCACTGTCATAGATTCAATAACAGTTGAATACAGTTAAAAATGTCTGATATCTATCAAAGATTAATCTTCTCTCAGAATACTGACAGATCTGTGTAGACAAACTGTCAGTTCTGTGAATCATATTTAATATATAATGAGAGAAGTTCAAATTTCTAGTAATATTATTCAGTCTGACAAATGTATCTATCATCTTTCAAATAATAATGAATATGATTCTTTATAAACAGAATAAAATCTTATATCTCATATATCTCAATAATATTCTAGTCTTTTCAAACTTATACAATAAATATCTGAAGTATCTTGATAAAGTACTTATAACTCTGACAGAGTATAAGCTCTATATTAAATTAACAAAGTATGTGTTTGAAATGAAAGAGTTGAAGTTTATAGAATATATAGTGAGTGATAACTATATATATCTCATCTCAGAGAAATTAAATATTATAGTAAATTAATCACAGCTGAGAAATGTATATTATATATAATAGTTTCTTAAGTTAATCTTATATTACTGTAGATTTATCAAGAATTTTATATAAATATCTGTATCACTCTCAGATCTCTTAAGAGAAATAGATACAAATCTGTGAAAGAAGAAGTTTTATTCAATTATCTGAAATATTATATGTGAAGAGGCTTTTCTCACACTGAGAGAATATATAATAATATTTTCAGTGCTTATTCAATTAGATCATGATAAATCTTTCTACATTAAGACAGATACATTTGAATGAGCTATCAGAGACACTCTTCTATAGATGAGTAAGAACAGCAAGCTGTATCTGATAACATATAATGATAGAAAACTATCAGATGCTGAGCTCAATTACTCAGTGTATGAAAAGAAATTACTAGTAATTAAGTACACACTGATGTTATAAGATAGATATATTGATAACAGATATATAATAACAGTGATCATAGATTATAAAAGCCTTATCTATCTATAATTAATAATGAAATCTTTTAAACACTTAGTATGTTGAATCTCAGAGTTTTAAGTATACAATCTTAATATTAAATATTAAAAGAGGTCAGACACTGTGATATCTAATATAATCAGTCACAGATCTGATTTCATGAGTGAGAGTTCTATAAATCAGATATAAGAAAAGTTCATATTAAATATACTGAGAAAATGTAAGAAATCAGAATAAGTGAATATAATAATCTCTCACTTAAAGAATGACAAGATATCAGATGATAAGTATCTTATAAAAGTAGTAGAAGAGATGCTTTTAAACTTTAAGCTAAGAAAATTAAAAAATAATATTGTACTTTACTGTGATCTAGAATATATAGAAGCTCTCTATCTAGAATATTCATTTAGACATGACTTGATAGCTCATATACACAAGGAATTCAGTCACTTAGAAAGCTCTGAACTTATAAGTGTACTTAAATCAAGAATATACTGATTAAGAATGACTGAGAATATTCAGATTTACACTTATAAGTGTCTGAATTATCAGATTGTGAAAGAATCTAAGAAAGAATTAGAATGTAAGAAAGTATAATATCAGATAAAGTATATAATACAACTATTTAAACAATAAGAGATAAATCTCATAGATATATTACTGCAAATATCAAATGAAAATTAATAAATAATCACTGCTATTAATTATACTACTGACTGATCAGTTGTGAAAGCAGTTTCAGAGATAATAGAGAAGATAATAATGAAGTTTCTATATAATAAGATCTATATCAACTATGAAATGCTGTATGAGATTCTAACTGATAATGATGTGAATCTTGTAGAAGAAGTAATAAGACATTTCATGAGTCAGTTATAGATAAAATATTATAGAATAACACTATATCATCTGCAGATAAATGAGAAGATGAAACACTTGAATAAAATCTTGAGCAACATGCTGATGAAATATCTAGTGAGCAAGTCTATGAGACTATGAAATGAATATCTCAGGCAGACAACTATTAGTCATGCAGATTCAACAGTATGCAGTCTTCAAGCATTTATCATTCTACCTGTTGTATGAATTGCATCCGCGCATCCCGGAGAATGCTTCAGAAAAGATGGGAGAGGGAACAGCAGTTGCGGACGCAGCAGAAACAGTGATTGCAGATGCATTAGTTATGAATGCAGCAGAAACAGCAGTTGCAGACACAACAGTCACAGATGCAGAACCAAGATTGAAAGAGATCAGTCACACACATGCAAAAGCTAACAAGTTACTCCTGAACTGAGCAATTCAATCAAAAAGAATACAAGACTCACTAGTTAAGAAATCAAGTCTCAAGATGAGAATGTAAGTTCTTGTATATAATAAGAGTTCTGAGAAGTTTCAATCTAGATGATTTAAGTCATATAAAATACTCAAATCACATTCTCTGAGAACATACACATTGAAAGAATCAGAGAGATGAGTCTTATACAACTTAATAAATGATTTATAACTTATAAAAGTAAAGATATAAGATCTGAGCAGATTATAATCATCTGCAGCACTATTATCAGTGTTGAAAAAGAAGAGATTTATAATTAAAAAGTCTCATGAAGTAAGAGAAATCATAGATACTTATAAATCAGATGATCTCACTTATTCTGATCTTTTCATAATTATAAGAAAAGAATGAAAAGAAATGAAGAAATCAGATAAACATTATACTTTAATAAGTGATGAGACTGTAGCTGATTATATAATAACACATCACAGATAGTAGATATACTATAGTAAAGAGCAGTCTCAAAGCAGCAGACTTATATATGAATCAGATTACAGAAGAAAAAGAAATTCAGAGTTAAATTTAACTATTTATACTAGTTCAATTACAGAGATAACAGAGAATAAATCATCTGAAACATCTGCAGATGCATGAGATTAAGTTATCTTAATTTTTGAGAATGCTCAGAGATCAGATAAGGTTAGTTTTAATAAGCTGTTCACTGTAGTGATCTGAGCAGGTAAAGAGAGACAGTATAATATATAAGACAGAATTATAAAAGATGAAAGCTGCTGAATCTAGTCACTGAAGACTATATTATATAGAGATTATATAAGAGTAATGACTAGCAGATAAAGAAAAAGTATAAGAAAAGAAAAGAAATAATGAATTAATTATCAACTGTAAGAGTCAGCTGTAAAAGACAAATATTATTATATATATCTCATTCATTTTCATATATCACATGTTTAATCTATTTCCAACATCATATCACTTGAAAAATGTCAAAAATAAAGAAAATCTTAAAACTCAAGATTTATAAGAAATTCAAGAGCTGTAAGTCACTTTTATAATAACACTGTGTATATCTCTAATTTCTCTACTACTTTGTATACAACATTAATATCATTTATTGCAAGATTAACTGAAATGTCAATATAGAAATGTGTTTATATGTGTGTAGAAAAATTAGAGAAGAGCACAGAATCTGCAGAATCAGAAGTCAGAATAGAGAGAGTGAAGATGAAAGAAATAGAAGAAGAAGAGAGTATAGAATCAGACAAATAACAGTAGAAGTTATCTGAGATTAAATGCTTATAATCTGATATGCACACAATCTTCTCTGCAGAGAAGAAAGAGAAAGTGATAGAAGAAGCTTAGAAACAGAAGAGAGTAGTCTTAGCAGTGTGATTATCTTCAATTAGAATGACCTCTGATACCAGAGTAACTAAGAACTATTATTAGTATACAAAAACTGTAAAATCAGAGATGAGAACAGTTACTGAATGAATATCTGCTAACCTTAGAGTTGTACATGTAATTACAACACATACAAGACTTCTCAGAAAGAGAGAGAGAGACACAGAAGAATACAGAAAGTAGAACACAGTGTGTGAACAGCTCATTCTCATAATAACATCTCAGACAAGATATACAAGTCTCACACTCACAGATGTAAAAGAGTATAATATTCATATTCTTATTTCTGAAAACATAGATATTCTTTATCTGCATCACAAAGTCAGATAATAAACATCAGAGAATAGACTGATACAGATCTATCATCTCAAAGAAATTTATTAGAGTAAATATATCTATAATATTGAACTTTACAGTTGTAAAAAGTTTCTTAATATCTGTGAATATTATAACTTTATATATAATAAAACTCATAATGATTTCTTCTAAGAACAGAAAAATCAGTGTTAGAAAGAAAAGATGAAAAAGAAAAAGACTTACAATCTCAACACTGTTAAAGAGAGAGATGATTCTCTGATATAAATGAACAATTATCTTATCATAAATATTTAAAACAAATATAATAATCAGCATCTGTGATCAAGCTTTAAATAGTTATGTTATACATTATCTTCATATAATAAATCATTCTAGAGATCAGTAAGAAGAGCAGAAGTGTATACACTGAGAAACATGATTCACTGAGTCTATATAACATCTTCTTGAAACAGGAAGAGCTAGTAATAAAGACAGTGATGAGAGCAGAAGTAGCAGAAGTAGAGGTTGTAAGAACAGAGATAGTAGAAGCGGGAGAACCAGACACAGAGACAAGTGTAGAAGATTGAGAAGAAGTGACAGAGAAAGAAACAGAGAAGAGAGCAGTAGAGAAAGAAGTAGCAGAAGAAGCAGAGAGAAATGTGAGAGACTCAGCTATATATAACACAGATAATTTCTTCATTATCACATTCTCTAAGTTCTCAATCAATGATTCAACATTGAGTTCACTATCATTGATAGATGCAGATCTGTCAACATGTGAAGATTCTATATAAATAAAAATAAACATATCAGTATCTGTGTTCATATAAAATCATGTCAGAAGACATGATCAGAAGCTCACTGAGAAGAAAAATAATCAAGAATGTACAAGAAGATGAAGAAAATATATCATTTATAATAGTATATTCTGATGATTATTAGAAGATAAACAAGTCCTGATCACATTTCACAATGTGTTATACTTACTGCTAATGAACTGCCTGATAGAGGCACTATAAGAACACTTGTTATGAGAATGAGAGATCATCATCAGAAATGTGTACAATGTGATAGATGAATAACAGATAGAAGATGTTAAATAGAAGAAGAGATAGAAATCTTGAATGAGATAATAGCATTTAATGATGATGATGATGAAGAAGATGATTGAAGAATAAGAAAAGTTAGTGAATAAGTAATATAATATAGTAAAAGTTTCTTTATGAGAGTATACATAGAATGCTAGCCGAATCAGAGATAGAGTACACTATCATGAACACTAGTAGCACACTAATTCATATGAAGCTAGAGTGTATATTATAGTCACATGAATATGACTGAATCTGATGAGAGAGAATATGATTTGAAAGAATGTATAACTGTTGAATAATAATACAGCTGCTTTCAAACTTGCTTATGAATGTAAAGAGATCATAGCAGCCATCAATTAATTTAGCATACAGTATATAAGAAGCCGGTATACGTCTGTAATCGTACACTGACTTAAGCAACCTTTGAATCACAGATTCATCTGTAATAAATAGTTGAGTTCTACTCTCACTATTATTCTTTTTCTTCTTTTTCTTGAATTTCTTTATTCTCACAGTATTGTTTATTCTTCAATTATTCAGAGCACTGTCTGAATTAATCAATTAACAGATGTCAAAGTGAGATCTCTCACATTTAGAATATGTAGATGAATTGCTCAATCTCTGATAATTTTGAGAGCTCTCTTGTAAACTGTTATAACTACATTCAGTACAGCCTTTACAGGCTGAATTCAATGTATTATTATTAGAATTGATAGGTGTAGTGATTATTGTAGCTGTTATAGCTGTTGTAGCAGTGTTGACTGTAGAATCTGTATTCTGTAGATTCTTCTTATCTTTTGAAGAATTAAGCTGTGAACAGATTTCCGTTATAAGAAGATCAACATTTAATACCACAGCTATGAATTTGAAATCTTGTATCTTCTCTATCTTCTTCTGAACATAATTTCTTCAATTGTTGAGTAGAACTGAGTAGAAGATATCAAATATTCATACATCTAAGAGAGAAGCATCCATCATCTTCAATTTCATGATAACAGATTGAAATTTATCAAAGAATATGTGTAGATTGATGACCTATGTGTCATTAAGAGATATGAATTTCAGAACTGTCTCACAGTGTAACTGTGTTTTAAGAACAGAGTATTTCTGTTCAATCGCATTTTATAGAGTATAAGTGATTCAATTTTCATTATATTTGAAGAAATGTGGTCTGACATCTACACTCAAGAAGTTTGAGATGAATGTGTAGAGTTACTGGTTTCTGACATCTCAGAATGATACTTATTCATCATCTCTTTATAGAGAGTTCTAAGTCTGTCATTTCTCTATCATATATCAACACTGTGTATCAACCAGTTTCAATTTCATGAAGATACTTTATGTGATGTAATTAAATGTGTTAGTTAGACTGTTTGATCTTACAGTATTCTTGACATCTTTCTTGAATTGAGAGATTATCTTGTCAACACAGCTATTCAGTTCATAAAGGTTGAATTTCAATCTTTTATCAAGATTAGAATTCCATGTAGCTGTACAGACTGTTGAGATGTGGTTCGGAAGAACGTACGACCGCCGGATAATATACGCGCGCTTCCGAACTTGCTTACGAATGTAAAGGGGTCATAGCGGCCATCAATTAATTTAGTATACAGTATATAAGATGCCGGTGTACGCCTGTAATCATACACTGACTCAAGCAACTTTTGAATCACATCTGATAGCATGTCTAAAAATCAGTGAGAAGCACAGACTTCTTCAGAGTATGATAATTCTGTCTATGAAGCAATTTGTAGTTATCATATCAGTGTGATTCTAGAATGTCTCAAAAGATAGTGTATGAAGAGCAGTGAGTAAAAGAGCATCTGATTGATGCTGCTTTGCTTATTGAGGAAAAACTCCACACTCAGGTGAATGCCATGTATGCAAATGAATGAGATGTGAGAAAGAGAATGAGAGTGATGAACCAGATTCAAAGAAGTTCACTTCCTACTCAAAAGAAGAATAAAAAGAAGAGATGATCATCATCAGAGTTGTATAATAATAACAGAAATTATATAATGATATAGTGATATAATGATATAGTGATATAATAATATAGTGATATAATGATAGACATTATATAATCAATGAGAAATCACTGAAATGAATATCTTTTCTAGTTAATATAAATAACACTCTTCTCTGCTATCTGAACTGGAAGATATGCAGAATCTCTCAGAGGGTTTACTCAAAGCAGTAAGAAAAGTAGCTGAA